AAATAACATAAAAAGTGACCTGTCACATACCTTTTTGTATAAATTCCGTATTACAAACGATTCAAATAAAATAAATAATAATAAATTTTGAGGGTTCCATAAGGGCAAAAACTGCACATGAACACTTCGGGAACATATAATAATATAACATATAATTGGAAAGAGGAGATAGGTGGCCTTAAGGTGCTACTACTCACTTTGGTGTGAAGCTAACACAATTTTCACAAACTTGAACAGAAATCTTGTTGCGTTTTTTTTGACAGACTGTATTTCTTTTTTCCGGGAGAAAAGATGATGTTTTTATGTCTTTGTCCTCCATCATGAATTATACCGTTAAGATGAATACACCCCACCAACAAACAAGGCTGAAACAAAAATACAGTGTTGTTGGTGGTTGGTTTCCTTTTCTTCAGTGCAACACTTGCATTTCATAGTCGTCCCTTAAACAGGAAGAGCAGTTCCCACCAAATAAGCCTGGGTCATCTCTTGGTCCCGTTTGGGGCGGGTAATTGGCATTATGATATGTCTAAGGGTGCAACCAGGAAGGACACATACATTTTCGGGGGGCAGTGAAAGCAAAATATTGATTCAATTTTGACTCAATGGGGGACTTCACTTCCGCCTTGCCAGCCCTCCCCCACTCCCGATAAAGCTAATTCCTGAGATGTGGTTCATCAGAATGAATGGGAGCTAAATAATTCCAGGCACTTTTTCCAGGCTTGTTGAACATAAATCATGAAACAAATCATATAGGAAAACTAACTAGATGCTTATGAATGGTTATGAAGATGAACAAAAAGCTGTGTCCTCTTTGAGTGATCCCTTTTCACCGCGTCCCAGGTTGTATCGGGTAATTTGGGTGTGATCCGTGGCTGCACGGTGTTTCAGGTTTAATGGCTTCTGGCTAGTGCCCCCCCCGAACAGAGACAATGACAAATGGAACGAGCCACCAACAGAGGGCTAGGTGGCTCAGTTGGTAGGGCATTGGTGGGGTATTCTCAGAGGCCGCCGGTTCAGATCCCGCTCCAGTCAATTTCTTTGTTCATCTTTATAATCAAGTTTTTAATTTGAAATTTAAACAATCTTGAAGGAATAAGTGTCATGAGAAGTAAAAACAGAACCCGTACAGAAATTTTGGGTGAATGTGTTAAACCCAGTCAATCTGAAATCTGATATGATTCTTTCACAGCAATTCATAGAGCCACACGACATCGCGGTATATTCTGGAACTGTCTACGTTGCTGATGTTGGGGCAAATCGTGTCTGGAAGTTCTGGGATGAAGCTACCCTAAGCAACGAGCTTTGGAAGAACCAACTATGGAAATACTAACTTGAACTACAGAATTACTCGCTGTCTATTGCTGTACGTTTTCAAACATTAATGTGCATATCTTTATCGTAAGTAAGCTGTAATTTATCTGTTATATTCCTTTTCATTTTTTGTTGTAATGTTGGATTACACTGTTTTCTGAGTCATTCTGGGCTTCAAAGGGCATGTCACTGTACCATGTATACACATTTTGGTAAAAGACGTACAAACTGAACAATAGAAAACAAAAGAAAAGAGGTATTTTTTAAAAGATAATAAAGATACCAGTCTTTATGACTTATTATATGGACTCTAACAGTGCTTACTATGTGCTGCTTTATATTTCATGGGGTTGGTTTATTTCTGAGTAACAAAGGCCATTTTTTCCACTACATTATCCCACTACAACTGATCAAATGTACTGTAGGTAGCTGCAGTGGAGTGATCAGGTACTTGAAAAAACGTGTATTCAATCCTATACCTCATTCCAGTATCCTGTACAGAAACAGCGTAAAAAATGTGACTCGCTTGTGTTACGTCGTTTTTAAGCCAATATTTTATGGTTTAAGCTATGTGCAAGTTAAGGCCTGGTTTCCATGTGGTAATTTGCAACATTTGCAATGGTTGAGGGTGCGCATGACGTGAAGACGCAGACACGGACAGAAGAGACAGTACATGACGTCATTCCACCGGAAAATTAAACAAAATTGCGTCCGAAACTGTGATTCATTAATGATGCCCGCTTAGATTGACTACTTTGTCATGATTCCAAACCCGGAATCCAGTTTTTATTCAGTTGATGGTCAGCTTTTGTGTTTGACCATAACGGTGTGATAAACTTCAAGGGGAAATTGGCAGAATTCATGAAACTAAGCGAAGGGGACATCGTTGCAGGCAGTCAGGAAAGTTGGACCTAGCTCAACTTTGGCAATCGTTCACGGGCTGCTTTGCGTTTGTGTGCGTTGTCGACAATACCTCCATTTTGCATATTTCCATAATGTCTGCGCTACAGTTTGCGTCTTGATTTGTCGCTCTCTGCATGTCTTACGTGGATATGGGAACCATGACTTAATTGAAGACTAAAAAAAAGGACTTATGTAGCAGTTTTTGTCAATTACCAGCGTGAAGTTGCTCTATGCATAGTTTCAAGCATCACCACGTTAGTGTAATTGTAACACTTGTGAATCAATCGTAGTGTTTATTATACAGCTGTTGAATGCACGGAATTCAGGGCACAGAAATAGGATCAAGTTGAGTACGCGCGAGTGTTGTTTCACTCGCGTTACAACGCGCGCGGACTCAATTCCTTTGCACTGTACTTTCCTGTTCACAGTAGCACGTGAACGCCAATCTTGCGCGTATAATTGTGATTTATAGTATGCGTAAACAACAGGCAAAACGATGGATGGCATCATGTTCAGTGCGCATTACATTGCCTGTATTTGTTTACATGTACTCCCAAATCATCTTCACCTTTTACGCACTTCTGTACTGCTTTCTCTTTTTTTCAAATATACGTTGCAACCGCATTGTTTTGAATCCCTAAGGGCTACATTAAGGATTTTTTTGTACAATCAAAAAATGGCTTCATAGAATTTCATGGATGGAATTCTTCAATTGTGCGTAAATTCCCTATACCGAGGGATGAATTTACCCACAGTTTTTTTTTCATCGGGCGCCGCGCAAATCACGAAAAACCCTTGTTGTCTTATATAGGAAACTCCTTGCGGTCTCTGCGTTTACATGTCTGTGGATACTTCTGTACTGTTATGGGTGCATCCCTAGAACGGGAGCTGGTTGGAATAGAGCGAAAAACTTGTATTACTCAAGCTAGATTCATAGCAAGGTTACCATTATTACCATTACCTTTATCTGATTGTCTTTCTTGATTACTATTGACAATTGTTGGTTATTTTGGTGATGGATATTGCGACATTGATATAAATACACGTGTATCCGTGGAGGTGATTATTGGTGGAAATGTGATTGAAGTAATAAATAGACTAGTTGTTTCTGCATACGAATGAACTGTTCATTTTCCCGTGTCCTTATTTATGGACGAATCCCAAAAATCCGATTATGTTCCTCCTCCATGTTTCTTGAGCCCTTTCTGCAATTCCAACGTATACAGCGTTGAACTATTTTTGTGACGTCACTCCTTTGTTCAAAGTGTGGATTATTTTCATCTACATATAACTAGTTAAGAACATTCATAATGACGAAGTTATCCCCCCCTCGTTTCTGTCAAAGTAATTGTGATAGGAGGATTGAAGAGAGCATGATGGTGCTCGGTGCAGCAACACTGATTTTACTGCACTCCTCAAAAGTGGGCATATTAAAGGGATACCAGGAACGCCCACAGTCCGGTTTCGTTATGTATGTTCGCCTTTCTTCATAGGAAATGAGGATAGTCTGTTTAACTTGTGCTTTTGGGGTAATGCTTCTGGGGTCTTGCTTTTAGCCAGATTTTTCAACAAGGATTTGAATTTTCTCTTCACCTTTCAACGAAGAATAAATCTAATGTGTTTTGGCAGTTTTTCTGTTCCAACACGGTGCTTTGCCCAGGTATCCTCTTGAACGAAATCCAGCTTGTGTTTAATTAAACAGCTATAAAAAGAGCCCGAGTCGAACTGTTCGAAAATACGTCCGGATTATGGACAAATTTCGTCATATTAAAAAAGGTAACACCAGAAATTTTTTAAAAAGATTGAAACAAAGCCACTTCAGAAACCCGCCTTTTTTGATTTTCTTGCACTTTTCAACTTCTTCAACTTTTATATTTCCACATTTATCCAATGTTGGTTAATTTGTCGAAATACAATTTGTCGTAATTTAAGCAACCCGAATGCAATGATATCAACATTGAGCCGGTGACGTTGATTGAGTGTAGCCTGCAGGGAGTTAAATGATTATCCGACGTTGGACATTAGTTGATATTGTAACGCGAATGTTTGGTGACCTTTTAAACACCAGAGGAATGGCAGTGGGGTTGACCAGGCTGATGCACTTAATTAGGTTTCGGGTTAAGTCTGGGAGTTTGGAAACCGCGGGCAGTCAAGTATGTCCAGTCAGGGATATGGATGGAACAAAGGGGTATTGGGAATTTGACAATCTGTCAGGGGATTTGACAACGTGTTTTTAGTGAGTAAATTATGTTGTGGAAAGTGGGAAACTGAACTAACAAGACTGCCATGAGGGAAAACGGGGGGAGAGTTTGACAATATCCGGAGTATGATAAAAATTAGTAAGTGGAAGGAAGGTTGAAATGGGTATTGTGGACCATTGTTTTGCATTTTTGTGCTAAGATGGTGTTTTCATGACTGTGGAAAACAGGACCCAGGGAGGGAATTAAATAATGTTAGAATCGGGAAAATTAGTCAGTCTGAGCCGAGCTGCTGAGGAGTTCAGATTGGATCGACTGGCACAACTTTGGTACCGGGATTTAGTAATGTGTAGACGATTGTGACTGAACAGTTAGTTCATCTTGGATTGTGCATAAGGATTGGGTACTGACGGTACTGACAGTGTATCTCGGCAGGGCGAGGGGGTGCACGTTGGGTCCTCATGCCCTCTCCTTGCCGTTTGTAATTGGGGAAGAATTCCATATACGAAGTTCACTGTAATATTGCGTAATTACTACAAAAGTATCCTTACTTTGATCGCTGAATGAAGACGATTCCAATAGGCATTGAAGAGCTGAACATCATAGGACAGAAATGTGGAGTTTTGGGCCCACACCCCCTTTTCCGCCGTTTTCAACAAAAACCCCGGGTAGTACATCGACTTAAAAAATCGGGTGAATCCCCTAAAAATCTGGAATTTCAAATTTTAACAATTTTCCCTGGATACCTCATCGACCCCAAAACCCGGCTCTAAAAGTACCGGGTAAATATACACCTTCTGAGCCAAAACTCCCTTTCACCCACACGCGCCGGGGATTTCCACTTCACTGATCTTGAACTTTTGACCCCGGGGCACTTTTTGTGTAAACAACTCGTGACCAGCACCGATCGCACCAACAATCACTCAAACAAAAAAGGGACTTTCCCGTGCTACAAGTCGAGACTTGCCCGACCTGAACTCGTGACCTTGACTCTGTTCAAAGCAAAACACGCTATATTTACAATCGCCTTAAATAAATAGTCTATATATAAAAATAACAATATATAAAAAAAAGTCAATTCAAGTCGTTAGAAAAAGTGAGAAAATTTTTCAAAACCTACATATAAATAGAGACATGAGCAATCCACAACACCGACCACTATCGACCTTTAATCGATTTAAGAAGGCGTTCTTAGAAGATTTTTTCAAGCGGTACAATATTCCACTATCGGCAACAAAAACAACCAAAACCCGTAAATCTCACACTAAACCCGAGCTCATTGAAGCAATACGGGCAGATCAAAAACAATTTAGGTACCTCCCGCGTCAGTCATATCGGCAGCTGTTGAAATCGGTTCAAAAATATAATATTCCTTTTGCAAACAAAGACAGATACGTCAAACAGGACTTTATTGAAGCGATCAAAGCTTACACTCAGCCCGAGGAAATTGCGAAAGTCGACATTAGAAACATCCGGCGCTTTCAGGGTAATTTTCACAATTGGGAATTGATACCCCGTTTCTTTGAATACGATTCGACACACTTTTTTGATTTTTACAAAACTTTCATCAAGAAAAAAGCTTTGGAAGAACTAAAAGAAATTGGGTCGTACAAATTGCAAACGGCTCTAAAAGTTCAGTTTAGATTGGAAAAACCCGAAAAAAACTGAATTTGGCGTATTCCCCTTTCCGGGCGACAACGATGCAGTCGCAAATAAAGCCGACGTTAAAAACGCACTCACTGAACAGAGGGAAAAAAAATAAAAGAGGTGGAGGCTCATACACAAAAAGGCTCGGGTTGGATCTTTGACAAAATTGTCGCTTTCTACATCAACGTGGTTAAATATAATCCAATGGGTTCTTCTTACATTCCGTTGCCTAAAGAATTGGGAGACAAAAAAGCAATCATAAACGTCCAAAATGAAGATCAAGAATGTATCCGATGGGCGTTGCGGGCAGCTTTAAAATTAAAATTATATTCTCACATGTCAAAAGTCAGTTGGAAACAAATCCAAAATTTAGAATAAATAAAGAGCAGCCTTCAACTTACATGCCGAAGGCGTCAGGTGGTTTAAATTTTACAAAC